TGAACGCCTACTTCCTTTTTTTGTACGAAATTTGTATCTATGGAGATCAATCTATCTATATACTTATATCAATATCTACACACACACACTTCTGAAATTTTCTACCTACATTCCACATAACAATCTTTAAAAGGAAGATCAGCTTTGTACTCGCACTACGTTCACCTTCCGGGGAGTTGGGGCAAAGCTGGATTTGTTCTTGCTTTATCTTCTTATTTAAATAATACTGACCAAAAGCATCTGATCGCCATCGTAAAAAATCAATAATGAAGAGATGTTGTGCCTGATGCAGTAAATTTTCACAGCAGTTTTACAAAGCTCCATAAAATTGATAGCTACAATCATCGATAAGCATTAAAAGTTTAGGATGTCAGATGAAGAACATCCCTAAAATAAGCTGCAGGATATGAAACCATTAACAGGTGTAGTTATTGCCACGGCTTCATAAAACCAGAGAGAGCAGCATGAGAAACTATCCCCTGGGCTACAGAATCTCACACTACGGCCACCCACGCACCCTACCCTCCCTTCAGTTTGCAAGGATTAATCTCCATTTCCACTGACATTTTGTCTTGCCTAATTCTGAAACAACAGTGAATCGTGGAGGCACACCAAAACTGAAACACTGCACTCTCCTGAGTATTATGACCGTGTAAACACCCGGGTGCCTTCTTCAACTCCATAGACCCTAGCAGACCTTGATCCTTCTTGTACTTAAAAATACAATACAATTCTTTAGTTTTTATAGAATACCAAAATAATTTGCCTCCGATAACATTTAATGCAGTACAGCCTTTAAAATGATTTAAAGTCAAGGAATACAACAAGGCCAAGTTTCTGTACCATAACAGATGAGTTTGATTTTATAATCAGTCGATACATAATGAGGTCTGCTGCTGAAACATGGCGACATACCTGGTAATTTGCTTTGCCTGGTATCCAGAAGTATGAGAGAAACCAAGCAAAAAATAGACCTAACATTATTATTTAATATAGTAGGCCATTCAGTCTCTCCCTGAACAGGTTTGCACCTAAAAACATTTCCAATTCACATTGTATAACATCTACAATACTGGCCCTGTTTTACACACTGCCATTGCCTCCAAGTTACTAACCTAGTTATGCCAAATAAAAGCCCCTTTTCCTGATTAAAGAGGTTTGCCTTGTTTTTTTCCAACCATTAAATCAAAGGTATAAACTATTATTTCTAATCGGATTACATCTTAGCTGTCAAAGAGAAGAGC